GTGTAGGCTCCCGTAATGATAACGGTGAGCGGTTACTTCATTTGTGTGAAGATGCTCGCTTATTTCTTGCGAGCACTAACTTCCGACACAGCACCCGCCGGAGGGTGACTTGGCGCCCACCAGCCTCGAACCAGCCTTGGACGCAAATCGATCACATTGCGATAAGTTACCGATGGAGAGGCTGCATCCAAAACTGTCGCTCGATTGAAGCACATGTGTGGACATCGATCATGCACTTGTATGTGCTGACATACGGATGAGTTTTGGAGGACGCCCACGACGACGATGTGAGCGAAATGACAACAGCCAACTGACAAAGCCAGCTGTTCTGAATGTGTATCGAAGTACGCTGACATGCAGGTTGAATAAGCGCTCACTGGAGACAATTGATGGTCACTGGTCACATGTTCACCAGACCTTACTAGCAGCAGGCAACTCCTCATGTGGTAAGTCTAATAGCCAACATGGATATTGGGTCTCTTCACGGTCTTTGGAAATTATCGATGCTCGCCGGTATATCACGGCCGGAAACGAACACAATGAAATTCACAAAGAGCTCCGGGCAAGACTTCGTGCTAGTCTGAAGAGAGACCGCTAGTCTTGGTGGTCTCATCGTGCGTCAGCGATGGAAGTGGCCACTGCCCTTAGCAACCATCGTAAATTATTCCGTCTGATACGGGAAACGGGCAGCAGGAGGCCTGATGTTAGTGAGACTATACGTCACGAGAGTGGACAGCCTATCCACAATTTGTCAAAACGCTTGGAATGTTGGGCTGAGCACTTGGAAAAGCAATTTAATCGGCTAGAATTGTTCGATTCTTCGCCGGCAAGTGATCGCCCAGCTCCATGGGCTGTCCCTTTGGATCCACCCTCTCGCTCAGAAGTCAAACGTGAGATCGGACTGTTGAAGTTGAACAAAGCCGCCGGACCAGATGATCTTCCTCCAGCCCTCTTCAAATTCGGAGGCTCTGCTCTTGTTGATGCTTTACATGAATTACTAGTGAAACTGTGGGAGAAGGAGACTGTCCCAACCGACTGGAGCCGCTCCGTTATTGCTCCCTTCTTCAAATGAGGCTCGCGTTCGGAAGGCGGCAATCATAGAGAAATCAGTCCGATCTCCATCGCCTCCAAAATTCTTCACAGAAGGAGTGGCGCTCGTGAAAGCCAGATTCGGGAGGAGCAAGCCGGGTTTCGTCGGGGTCGTGGCTCCTTCGACTACATCTTCACCTTGCGTCAGTTGTTGAAGCACCGCCACACATATTGGCGGACCACCGTAGTCGTGTTCCTCGACATCAAAGGTGCCTTCGATTCGGTTGATCGATGTGCCCTTTGGAATTGTCTACTCAGGAAAAATGTGCCCAAGAAATATGTAAATATCATCTAATCATTATACGTGCGCAGCACGGGCAGAGTGAGGGCTTACAGCAAGCTGTCGCCACCCTTCAATATCTCCAGCGGTGTGAGACAAGGATGCCCACTGTCATCTTTCCTCTTCAACTTCGCTATTGACGAAGCCATGGAAATTGCATTTAAAAGACATGACTTGGAAGGTGTGGAGCTAGTCCCAGGAGAACGACTTCTTGACTTGGAGTATGCAGACGACATTGCCCTCATCTGTTACCGCTCCCAGACGTGCCAAGCCGTGCTGGACAGATTAGCACTGGCTGTCCATCACTTCGGACTTTGCTTTGCACCAGCGAAATGCAAAGTGTTCCTCCAAGATTGGCAGGGATCGCTTCCTGCGCTGACCCTTGGTGGGGATCAGCAAGAAGTCTATATATTGGAATATGTTTGGAACCGACTGTGATTTCATGATTTCAGAAGGTTTTGTATACAAATCAGTTTGTATACAAATCGGTTTGTATACAAAACCTTCTGAAATCAGCAAGAAGTCGTTCAGAAATTCAACTACCTTGGAAGTTGTATCAGCGCCCGTGGGATTGAAGATGAGATCACGAACAGTACAACAAAAGATCGAAGTGCTTTTGTTTGCCTTCGCCACCTATGGCGCCGGTGCGACATCACTCTCGCCCTGAAGGGTAGAGTGTACAATGCAGCGGTACGTTCGATTGTACTGTACGGTTGTGAAACCTGGCCCCTAAGATCGGCGGATTTAAAGAGGCTAGTTACGTTCGACCATCGGTGCCTTCGCAGTTTGGCTCACATCTGGTACAAACATCGCGTGAGTAACGAGCGTGTTCGACGCCTTCCTTACCGCACACGAAAAGGAACTGAACCGCTCAGCACCGTCATTTCACGCACCAGGCTCCGATAGCTGGGCCGTGTTGCGCATGCCAACCCACCGACTTCCACGACGTGCGTTGTTTGCTCACCGGGGATGTGGATGGAAAAAGAGGAGAGGTCGCCAAGCGATGACTTGGTCAAGAGGAATGAAGGCCCACACTTCTGTGCTGGACTCGATTGGAGCGTCACGGATCCCTGGTTGGGGTCCAACAGACGGTGAACACGTTTGGCTGGATACACTTGCTGACATGGCAAGGAGCCGATCTCAGTCTCGATCGTGCTGTGAGTTTCTTTGTCCCTCCCCATCCCTTTTAGCCTCCCCCTCCACCTACGATCTCATTTCGTAGCTTAAGATATAATAATTTTGCTTTTTGCCTAGTAGCCGGCTGGTAGCTTACCGGAACGATGCCTATCCGTTGCTGGTAGCTCAGCTGGTATGCAACTGTTGTATCTATTTTCCTTTTCGTTTATGTATTGCGGCACAATAGCTGAGGTGTTTTCCGCCTGCAGCTAACGTGTATAATGAGGATGATGAATAAGCTACTGCCGCACCCAGGATTTCGGTCAAGCCGAGGAAAACTCATTTTCAAATATGCTAAAGAAGACTATGGTGATCGCCGTTGTTACAGTCGAGGACGACGTTCATCATGAACTCTTCATCAACCCCTCCCATTGCTACCACTGACATACGTCGCGAAACTGCACAAGACCCTGTCCTGCAATAAGCTGTCACCTACGTTCAGACGTGCTGGCCAAACACTGCTTTATGTACAGAACTCAAGCAACTGTATCGGCGCCGCGACACATTTTCCGTGGTCAATTCCTGCTTCATGACTGACGAACGAGTCGTCGTTTTCTCCTGTCTCCGGCAAGCCGTACTCCGCCAACTCCATTCTGCACACCCTGGTATGAACAGAATGAAGGCAATCGTCCGCAGCTGTGTATTGGCCCGGCATTGACAAAGATATTGAAGATTTGATTCATGGTTGTTCAAGTTGCCAACAAGTATCCAAAATGCCAACACACTATCCTGCGATTCCTTGGCAACCAACAGAAAAACCGTGATCTCCAGTGCACACCAACTCTGTTGGTTCGACCGATGGCATCTGTTGCCTGGTCGTGGTCGATGCCCACCGCTAATAGCCTGTAGTGGTCGCAGTCAACCCACCAACCGCATCCGTCACGTTAGTTTGTCTACAAGGAATTTTCAGCCAACATGGCCTTCCCGATGTCTTGCTGTCCGATAATGGCTCCCAGTTTACGTCTTCTATGCTCGAAGACTTCAGCGGCGGCATTGCATCCAACACCTACGCTCGACACCCTACCATCCCCAATCCAATGGTCAAGCAGAGGTTTGTAGACACCCTCAAGAAGACACTTGAAATCTCGTGAGGAGGGGGCCGTGGACAAATACCTTCAAGCGGCCCTGCTCTCTTATCTGTCTACACGAATCCAACCGCTTTAGATTGCCAGTCTCCAGCTGGAGCATTAATGAGCCACAAGCTACGCAACACTCAGGAAGCGCTCATCCCGACCGAAAAGCCACCAATTCAATCTACTGCCTTCAGCAAGCACAAAGAGTGCTTCGTTAGAACGCCGGTATACGCACACGACTACCGGGCAAGTCATCTAAAATGAATCGGAGCAACAGTGATGGCCCGTCGAGATGAGATGCTTTATGATATCTCCGTGAGAGATGATACGTGGGTCCGCCTTCGCAATCAACTTCGACCGCGACACGGAGAACCCTCAACGCCAACCAGGCTTCCTGTGCACCTGCCACTGCATATCTTGTTGGATACCTTCGGAATTGCAACAGAACTGAAGATGCCGGTCAAAGCTGCCCAATCGCTAGGTCGAAACCCGTTTTGCCGAAGAACGGACAGAAGACGGAGATCACCGAAATCACTCCAGATGGATCATCGTCAGAAGCGGTTAACCCTAACTTCAAAGGGAAAGAAAGGCATCGGCAGTACACCGCTACGCAGTACCAACGCTTCGCTGCCGCACAACCACCACCGGTAGAACGTGGGCTAAGGATACAGTGAGGGTCTCCCTGCCCCATTTTCAGGCTTAGACCCGCGCCGTCATATTACAAAACAAGCTCATTACCTTTAGGCTACGGGCCGGGAGGTGTTCCGTGAACGTCAAGTGATTCCGCAAAATGCGCAACTGCGCTTCGAACTCCAATTCGGGAACTGCGCCACGCGGGGTCCATTTCCTACCCACAACGCGGCAGGTTCCAGCCAGTCCAGGGCAGTGCACAGCCGTGTGTTTTGCAAACCACGCGTTCGACGAGGTGTTGCTTTTCTCCAACAAGATACACCGTTGTGCCAACCGTGCTCGGCTTTCGCGGGTCGTACATGAACTCTCAAAGGTCCAACCCGCCTTCTGTCTTTTCTCTTGCAGGTTGGTTGCGACTCGCACGGGTCACGTGATCGTGCGTCATTCTAATCGGTCGGCTTCGTGTACTGCGTAAGCGCGTCTCTCATCGTTTTGTCTGGTTTCGTGGACACAGTGCGTTAGGCGAATCCGTGATACAGCGGCCCGTGCAACTTTGCAGCTAAGCTATCTCAAGGGAAGGTCAGAAGTATTAGTGAAGCTTCGGAGTTAACCGAGCATGTGAATGGCGTGAGACATTAGCACCGGGAAGCATGCTATCCCCTTCAATGACAAATGAATATACGCAAGATAATAAAAGCAGTAAAAAAACAAGACGATTAGGGAAGGAGTGGTGTAAAAGGCAGACAATTAACCTTTAACTTCAGGCGAGTCCGACCTTCTTCATCCAAAACTTCATCTTCATCGAGTTCATCTTCGTAAAAGTTTGGATCAAATGGACGGGTCTCCACTGACAGGAAGTTAGGCATCTTAACGAGATGCATTTCCCTTTGAAAAAGAAATAGTAGCTAACTGGTGAACAAACGTCAGCCACATTCATGCACTAAAAAAGGCATTAATAAACAAGGAAATATGGATGGAAAATATTAAACAACTTGGTAGTTGCTTGCTTGAGAGAGGAAGCATGATGCCGGTGCACCGCATTCCGAGGTTAAAATACGGCATGTGCGAGAAAAAATAAAGATGAAGAAGTATAAATGTACTAAAGAGGTACATGTTGCAAGCACAGAAATTGGAAACCACCACGAAGAGCACCGCACTCGCAGTAGGTACTGTGTTGATTTCATTTGGAAGAGCGTGGGAACCGGTGGCCAATGTATCACTAGATAAGTAGAAGAAAGGGGTTCAAATCCGGGCTCGCAAATAGCTATGAAAAACCGTCGAAGGCACACACCCCAAAAATCTTCCTGCAGGTTCTCAGAATATCCAAAGAAAGTATCAAACAGCCAGGACAAACAAAAACGAGGTGTGGTTTGCCAATGAACGGTGGATGCCAGGAGAGAGTAATTTAGACATATGTGAAGTCTGAGACTGCGAACCTACTATTTGGTGAGACAAAATGGGAGGATCTCTAGGGGCCTACAAATAACTCGGTTTTTGCATTCCTTAACGAGCGTTTTAACCTTAAAAGCAAATAATGACAAAGTGACGGCTTCCAGCTTACGTGTACGATCAGAGAGTAGGCTGAAGGCAGCAATGAAAACTAGAATTGGAAAACGAGGTAGAAAGAATACATACGCCTACGAACCAATATGTACAAGCCGAGATGGAAAGGAGAGTACTGCAGTCATTAAGATTACACATCAGCAAGGAATGAAAAAACACCCAACTACTGCGTCACAATGCAATTGATACGTTGGCAATAAGATTGAAGAAACAACAGTAAAGCATATGAAAGATAATGAGGTCATGTTAGATACTATGCAATTAGCGCAAAATCGTGGTCGGGTGGAGACGCTAAACGACAGGAAGTGGGTTCGAGAAACTCAGCACAGATAGGACTGCGGTCGACTCTTCACCAAGTCAACAAGTGTGTCCAACCAAACGTGTTCATCGCCATTCGATCCCCAGCCCGGCAGTCGGAAAACACCACTGAGATAAACTTCGAAGTGTGGGTTTTCATTCCTCGAGCAAGTTATCATTCTGCCTCCCCAACTCTTCTTCCAGCCAGACCCCGGTCACGAAAACAACGCACATCGCGGAAGTCAGTGGTCTGACATGCGCAACACAGTGCCTAACCATCGGAGCCTGCTGCGTGATATAACGTTCTTGAGCGATTCACTCGCTCTTCCTACACAAAATACACGATGCCGAACACACTCAGTTCGCACGCAATGTTCGTACCATAGGTGAGCCAAACTGGGTAGGCAGCGATGGTCGAAAGTAACTAGCCTCCAGACATCTTCCTATCTAAGTGGCGAGGTTTCACAACTACAACACTACAGGCTCTAATCGTTAAGGTGGCAATGATGCCGCACCGGCGCCACAAGTGGTGAAGTTAAGCGAAAGCGCCTAGAGCTTTTGCTATGCGGCTTGACACTTCGACTTCTATCCCACAGACACTGGACACAGAAGCCCAAATTGCTAAATTTCTGAACAACTAGCTGGTCCCCACCAAGGGTAGGTGAAGGAGACGGTCCCTGGCAATCAATAAAACTTTGCATCTGCGGGGCGTAAAGCATATCCCCAACCGGCAGATAGTCAGCGCTGACCTGTCCGGTATTGTTTGGCACGCACGTGGGGTAAAAAAGCTTAGGAAGATATCGCCGGTATATTGCGAGTCAAGAAGTAAACCAGCTAGGAGCGGCGCCGCGTATTCTAAGTAGTGTCCGGTGGACACGTCCCCCCATGACTACATCAACAGCGCAGTAAAAAAGGAGTGGTGTCAGCGGCCATAACCGTCTTACAACGCTGAAGATAATAAAGGGCAGCGACAGTTCGCACAGAGCTCTCACTCTGCCCGAACTGCGTGCATAAAACGCTGTGACAATGTTTACGTATTCCTCGAACGCACCTTTTTTGGTCAAAAAGATCGCATTGATCCGCCGAATCGAAACTACAGTTGATATCGAAGGACATGACTACGGAGGGTCGCCGATATATGTGACGGTGATTCAACGATTGACGTTAAGCGATGAAGTGGCTAACGAAGCCTCGGTTTCGGCGGAACCACACTTGTCCTACAGGAATCTGCCTTTCAAGGGCGCTAGTCAATTTGTGAAGAACGACAGAGGCAAGTAACTTGGAGTCGATGGAGATCAGACCAAGATCTATATTATTGTTGCATTCCGAACGTGACTCTTGGAGATCAACAATAACGCAGTCGCTGCAGTCGGTTAGGACAGTACAATAGATCGTGTGAACCATCTACAAAAGTTCTTTTAAATTTGAAGAACGCTGGAAGAAGTTCACTTGATCATGCGGCCTAATCCAGCTTCTGGTCCGATCTCACGTTTGATGTCTGTGCGAGAGGGGGGTCCAAAGGGATGGAGAACGGAACAAGGTGGCTGCTCGCAAGCAGCGAATCTGGTAATTCTGGCCAAATAAATTGTTTGTCAAAGTGCGCAGCAAACGCCCCAAAGATTTTTATAGGTTGTGGATGAGCCATCCACTCGCGTTGGATATAGTCTCGTAAACATTAGTCTTTCTTTTGCCCGTTCCCCGTACCAGAAGGAACAACTTCCGATAGTCAAGAAAAGCATCGGCTGTTTTCATCTTCGATACCCGATGAGACCACTAGGCTTCGCAGGCTCCTCAGACTGCCATGCGGTTTCGCACAGAGATCTTTGCGAGTTTCATTGTGTTCGCTCCGAGCCGAAATGTCAGTCATCGCTATGACACCGGACCTTAAGGTTGTGGGATGGTTTGCGTACCTCTACGATCTACTGAGTTGCGCTGAATGGTGCTTCCTGCACGTTTAGAACCAGTCATACCACACTGGTCAATGGTTAAAGGCCAGACAAACTCAGTCTCCTGGTCCTCCAGATCAGGCGTAAGTGTCAGTACTTAATCTTAAGAACAAACTCTCGGTAGACCATTGCCAAACTCATGCTGCTTTGCGATCAGATTTTTGGGTTACAACCTTGCCCGTCATCCTGTCTACACCTAGGCAACCTGATAGCATCCTGCTAACACAATATAATAAAAACCTGTTCACACAATTGCGCGACAATCTGGTCGGTACTCACCGGTGCTACCATTGACCAATTTAGTATGAGTGATACTGAAGGTGCAAGAAGCATAACGTAACTCGGCTCAATAGATCGTAGAGGCAAGCAAACCATCACCCCAAGATAAGGTCTGTCCCATTCCGATGGCTAGTGGCGGGCAGCGTCAGGAAATACCTATCGTCTACGATCATAAAGGATGGCATTCATCCAATACATACCGACCTTGCTAGTGCGGTTGAAGTTAGGCTTAATTTTCTCGTACCTCATTGTATCGTAATCTCAGTTTGTTATATCTGTATGGCTACTGGCTGATCTAATAGTAATGACGCACACACGTCACGAGACCGTATGCTCGAGTAAAATGCACTCACCCCACAATAGTTATACCAATTTGTATTGTTCTTTGATACCGTGTCTCATTATATGTGGCAAGTGGTAAAAGGTATCCATTAAGAGTGCGAAAACCTCAATTTGATCAGCCTAGATTTGCATGATTTATGAACAAACTCGGAAGATCATGGCTGGACAGGAGGGCATTGAACCTGAGGAGGAATTAACCGAGAACAGTTGTTCGCTTAAAGCTTTGTGTTTTGCTTATCTTGCTGAACTTGACGTAATAAAAACATGAGTGTCATAAAAAGTAGCACCACAATCTGGCAAGTGGAATGCAGTCGGCCAAAGGGAGACCATACTGCCAATATAAGAGGAGTAGGAAAGTCGGTAGAAAAGTCAGTAGCTAAAAGAGTGAAATTGCAAAACAGCAGGTGCACGAAAACGAACGAGGAGAGATGAGGCACAATAGGGAATTCAAAAGGATAAGCGGAAAAATGGCAAATGCCACAGCGCCAACAATATCGCGATTATCTCGACTTCAAACGAAGATGAAGCTGAATACTGAATACTGTATTTTGGAGCAATTAGAAAATAATTCTGTACAACTCCATCGGGTGATAATCAAGAAACATTTTTTTTAAATAAACACGTCCGGTGGTTATCCTGAGATGGTTCAGCAACTCCCTCTGTAGCACACAAAATGCTTGTTTACACAGTGAGTCACAAGTGGGTGATATCGTTGTCAAGTGGCAACCGTTCTCTGAAACGTATGTTAGCGAAGTGTAAATCCAACAAAGATTTGAATTTCTGCACAGATTCGGCCTCGACGACGTGTTCTGGCAGACTGTTCCAGGCGTGCACAACCCTCCGCTCGAAACACAGGGGGTGTGGGATTTTCTTCAGATCAGGTACCACGAGTTTGTACCTGTGCCCACGTGTGGTGCATGGTACTCGCAAGTGGAGTAACGATCTTAGCATGGGGAAATGACCGAGATGTAAAATACGGTAGGTCATGATAAGATCCGCTCGAACACGGCGATATGACAAGGTGTAGAGCCCAAGTTTCATGCACCGGTTTTAATACGATAAGCCTCTCAAGCTGGGGATCAACTTGGTGGCGACATGTTGCACTCGTTCGATCTTTTGCGCTTCGCCGCGAGTGATCGGACAGTATGCAGGCGAGCCGTACTCTACCATTGGTCTGACGATGGAGGAGAAGAAGCGAGTGGCGACGTCCTCAGACCAAGTGCAGAAGCTGCGTTTCAGCGCCCAGAGCATGCGCAGTCCGTTTCGATACAGTTTGTTGGTGTTGTCGACGGACTTCAAGTCGCAGCGTGAGAGTACACCTAGGTCTTTCACGGAAGGTGTGGGATGCAGTGGTTGGCCGTCTAGGGTGTACGTTCGTCCGTGAACAGCCTTCCCGAGATTCATGAATAGGGACTTTGCCGGGTTGACCGGTAGGTGGACTTCAGCAGACCATACTGC